CTTCTTTTTATATACTGTCTTCCCTCACTAGATTGTGAGCTTCTTGAGGGCAGGGACTCTCATACTCTTTGTATACCAGTACTCAGCACAGTGCCAGGCAACAGTAGGCACTTAATAAATTATTATTTTGTATTTAATATATCTTTTCCCCAATTACATGTTAAAACAATTTTTAACATTTTTTTTAAAGTTTTGAGTTTCAAATTCTATCCCTCCCTCCTGACCCTCCCCCCATGGTAAACAATAAGATATAGGTTATCCATATAGAATCACATAAAACATTTCTGTATTAGTCTATATAAATTATTATTTTTACACAAACTTGTATACACATTAGAATATTCTAAACACATAACACCACAAAGTGCTACAAAATCATATGAGGGGGATCATGCTAGCTTGAGGGAAGGGGGCTAAAGAAGTAATTGGGGAAAGTTAAAGAAATGTCATTTGAGCTGAGTGAGCATTGATGGATGGGATGATGGGATATTAACATATGGAGATATATGTAGGCATTCCTGAGGTAAGAAATGCCATGAAGAAGAAAAAGTACATCACAGAACCACTAAATGTCAGGCCTCAGAGATGATCTAGTCTGAACCTCTTTACAAAGAGGAGGGAAATGAGGCCTTGATAAATTAAATGACTTGCTTAAGGGAACAAAGCTGGTTAGAGCCTCAGTCAGAATGTTTGAAGTATAATGACTAGTCCAATTTTGCTAGAACACATAATGCATTCAGGGGAGTAGACTGAAATAAAGTTAGAAAGGCAGCTTAGAGCCCAAATGTGAAAGGTCTTGAATGCCAGGAATTCATAGCTTCCTCCAATGGGAAAATTTCTTGCCACCTGCAGCTAGAAGATGAGCAGATGGGTATATACTCCAAAACTGGTCATACAAAAAGGAACTATGGGACAGAAGGGATAACACTTAGATTTAATTCCACAAATATTTATTGCAACCAGCTGTTCTCTCCTTCCAATGAAGACTGAAAATGAAGAAACTGACCTCTCTTGTAGCATGAATGATTAGCTAAAATATAAGTGAACAGGCTAGATAGACAAAGCTTTATGATGCTGATTATGTTAATGATAACATAAGTTATGTAATCTCTTATGAATCTGAAGGGGAAAAAAAATGATAGTTCTTTTGTATGGTTTAGGGTTAGCCACTTTGAGAGACTTCTCACCTTCCCTCTTCACCCTCTGCCTAAAGGATACAATACAAACTCCTAAGCCTGGATTTCAAGGCGCACCATGACTTCAAGCTACCATTCCAGCCAAATTTCATTCAATGCTTCTTCATGCTCTCAATTAGCTATTCTCTGATTTAGTTTTGCCTTCCCACACCTTATTACATTTGAACAGACCATCCGCTCCTGGTTCCTGAAACATACTTCCTTCTTTCCTCACCCCAACTTTTGAAATCATGACTTTCCTTCAAGGCTGAGCTCAGGTAATGTTTCTTTAATGGATTCCTTACCAAAGCCCCCAGCTAAAAGGAGTCCCAGGTCTGCCATTAACAACCTGTGTGACCTTGACAACTCACTTCAGCTCACAGAGACTTCCAAATTACCAAAAAGCATGTTGGACTGGATAATAAACATGAACTGAATTAAATGATATCCAAGGTCCTTATAAATTCCTTGATCTCACCCTTCAAATTCTGAGTCTCTCCTTTACATTTATCATATATGCCTTATAAACAGTAACATCTTAAAGGCAAAGGCTAGCAAATTTTCTCTACATTCCCCAGTGTCTTGCATATGTTAGGTATGTAATGAATGTTTGAAAATTTGAACTGAATTTTGAAAGAGGAAGGATGAACAAGATAAATTCTTAACGTACTTTCCAAATAGGGTACTATGGAATGATTAAGGTTTCTCTGCATTAACAAAGTTAAAGTAGTATTTTGGGGCTTACTCAATAAATAGATAAATCCCAAGTTCATCTATTTGGCAATCACTTTGAGAGAAGATAAGAGGTAATAAGAGAAAAGATCAATTACTATAAGTCCAGTTAATGCTGGCAATGACACCCATGAAGCTAGAAGAAATATTTCTCAAGGATAAGGTGTCTTCTATAACTCTCCATCTTTTATTTGTTAAACTCATGTTGCTACATTTTCCACAACTGAAAAAAAAATCAACCAAAACCCCCATCTGTCTCCCTTCACTCCAGGAACACTGAGGAACTGAAAGTTTTTTTGTACCTCCAAAAATAAAATATCAGCCAATTCAGAGGACATAAAGATAATGTGGGAGTGAGGCAAAGAGGAAAGCAGGATAATGTAAACAGGAACTCTGCAGTGAAAACCCTTCATCATTATTAGCAATATCAACTCTAAATATTAAAACCATTTAGTCTAATTGCTACCACAGCGATGCTTTCAGCATTTTGAATACTGACCTGTTGGTAATGTTTGATCACCAAACTGAAAACCCCTCCAGACTGGGCCTCTCTGGAGCCACCAACATTCAGTTCATTCATGCCAACATGGAGACACTCACCCTAAGACTACGATGACAAATTTCTGCTACGCATGGCTTTTAAGTCACTTTCAAAACCACTTATATAAAGGCGGATCAAAAAGGCCAAGTTGAAGGACTGTTGTCTCTCCCATTTTACGATATTAAAACTAAACTCAATGGTCAAAACCCTTTAGTCACTTCTGCAGAAGCAAACACATCACTATTATCAAGCAGTTGGAATTCAAAATCCAACATTAAGTGTCATTGAACAATATTAGGGAAAAAAATTTAAGCCCTTTAAAAGGACTAAATTTCCTTAATACCATGTTAATGAGTTGTGCGGTATGAGTCAAGAAGAAGAGACATCATGGAGTTAAACTTAATCTATAATTTATTGGTCCATTAACAGCAAAACTCTATTCTTCTAAAATATGTAGTTGACATGTATAGTCAGCATGTCAAGGAAACAGACTAAAATCTGGAAGATTTTTTGCTTCCTCTTCCCCTGTCTCATATTTCCCAACCTCAATCACTGAATTTCAGGAGATGATAACATATCTAAGACCCAAATGAATGAAGCCCTTCCTTCAGAAGTTTGTCATTCCCTTAACATTGCTTATGGCTTGTCAGAGTTGAAGAAAAGAAGAAGAAGGGGGTGTTGGGAGGTTTTTTGTGAAAAAAAAGTCTTTTAATTTGAGAAAGTATAAAAATGGAAAAAGAGCAATGTGTTCCATTTTCCCCTACCCACTACTTATAATAGCAAATAAGCTAGAATACAATATTGGGCTCAAAAGACATGCATTTCTCTATCTCAATCCATTGCAGATGAGATCAAACTCAGGAAACATTTTCATGCCAAAGCTAACAGTTTCAAATCTTGAAGCTTTTATCTCAAGTTTGCTTACTGGATCCTCTCAAACCCAATCTGTAATAAAGGACTATTTTCCCCACACTAGAGAGTTATCTTTATAAAAAAAACAACAACAAACAAAAAATCAAAAATACTAGGTCTCCCTATCTTGCCCAGGTTGGAAGTGCAAAGGAGACTCACAGGCCCAATCTTACTACTGATAGGCACAGGAGCTCTGACCCAATTATTTTCCAACCAGGGCCAGCTCACTCCTTACTCAGACAATCTGATGGCCCCCTAATCCCAGGGACTCACCAAATTAATGCCAAACTCAGAGGGGACACTCAATCAGCATGGCCCAGGGCAGCTCAGAATTCCTGAGCACAAGAGAACCTCCAGTCTTGCCTCCCTGGAAGTGAGGACCACAGGCGTGTGCTAACATGCCTAGCCAATGATTTATCTTTACTTGGAAAACAGCAGCCACCTGTTCTCCCACTCCAGAAAAAGAATACACGCTGGCTCTGGGCCATCCATACAAATAAAATCCTTGCATCTGCAAACTGTGCCCCAAGTTTTGAAGCTCTTAAAAATGAAGAGAAGGATGAATAACTTTGTTCATTTTGTGAGGACTGGGATTTATGTCCTTTCTGCCTTACAAAGCACACTTTATTATATACTAAAGGAAGTCTATAAGAGCTACAAAGGACATCCCATGCAAAGCCTAAGAGGGACTAGAGGTGACTTAACCAAGAATGTCCAGATATATACTGTTGATCTTCATGTACATCTATCCTGCAGCACATTGTTAAAATAGGCAACAATGGGAAAGATTTGGAAAAAAGATTATGACATTTATCATATGACTTTTGGCACAACATGAACCACCTAAACCAAATGCTTTGGAACAGTGGTGTCAAACTCGAATAAAGGGAGATAACTGGGGCCATGTGCTGACTTAGAAAACTATGAGCTACATTATCTATGTTATATTGCATTTTTGTTTATTTTGTTAAACATTTCCCAACTGCATTTTAATCTGGTTCTATAGCACTTGGGAGTTTTGCTGGACCCAAGAGGCAAGGGCAGCAAGTTTGACACCTCTGCTTTAGATAATCAGCAATATTACAATCATTACACACTTAAGCTGTAAAATAATGACTTTAAGAGGTACTGGCAATACTTAACATGTATGTGTGGGACTCTCCTCATTTCATTTATAGTCTATGCTTCAAACTTTGTGAAAACAACCTGAGGCTAGGTAGAGCCTGAATACTACATGGCAGTACCAGTGTATGAAGGGAGGAGTTCCACATGCCAAGGGAAAAGGTTCCCAAGAAAGGATCCCTTCTTTCTTCAAATGATCTGAGGCCTGAGCTGTGCTACACCCCATGAGAAAAGCCTACCCAGTCCCTCCTGCACCCTTGCCACCCTTGACTCCCTGAAAGGCACCCTGTTCCCATCCTCCAGTGCCACACATCTAGTATGGGCAGAGCCAGGGCCAACAAGGAATAATGAGCTGGGTTCTTTTTCCCTGATTTTTACAGAGCTGCTAAAATCCTTCCATTCTAGTTCATATTTTAAAAAGCTTACTTAGTACAGAAACTAATCTAAAGGCAGCAGAGCAGGGTTTCCTATTTTTATCCACTGGAAGGAGCAGAGCTAGGAAGGGACAAAACTCTTACCCATTTTTGAAGTAAAGGACATGGGCTCTCTGTAGTCCTGTTTCTAGGAAAAAACCTAGTTCTTGATCATGGAGTGTAGGGCCAGGCTTAGGACTTCTATTTTGAATATTGGTAATAAGTACCTGGAGGGAGAGAAAATAAGTAAAGGAATTAGGCATATTCTATAAGTCCACTTCCTTGCTATGCAAAACCACAAAATGTTTAACAATCTAGTTCAAGATAAAAAGGTAAATGTATAGTCCCAGATTCAGGGCTGCCCACCAGTAATATGAAGCAAAGAAAGAAGGCTTTTCTAAGCCAGGTGCACGAACAAAACTCACTCACATAATGTGAAGCCCAGTAAGTCTGACACAGAAGTGGGGCTTAGGTGAATGACAGAAGGAGAGAGGAAGATGGTCTTGAGGAAGAGAAACTGAAGTGGGACAACACCATGGGAAAGAGCAACAGGGTCACAGAGCTCAGAGTCCCAATCGAAGGGCAGAAGCAGACCTCAGCCCCAAGAGGGATGCCACTCAAGTTGGAAAGAGCTATGCTAAGGAGGCTGACCCCCTTACATACACAGTCAGAAGCAGGAGCTTCTCATAGACGCACAGGACATGAGAGGGACCTTATAAATCCTATAACCCAATTCCCTCATTTACAGGTAAACAAACAGGCCCAGAGAGAAGAAGCAAATGTGCCCAAGGTTACAGATAGGTAAAATGGGGGGGGGGAGAGCCAAGGGTGCACTTTGGAGTGCCTCTTAACTGGGGAATGATTTTCATAAAGTTTGAAACAAGCTATAAAGAAAGTAAAGAATTCCAACAAACAAATCATGGTATATGAATGTTCTAATGAAATATTATTGCACTATAAAGAATGATGAAAAAGATGATTTCAGAGGATCCTGGGTAGTATGAACTGGCACCAAGTGAAATGAGCATAACCAAGAGAATAATTTACACAAGTACAACCACATGGTAAAGAAAAAACTTTGACAGCATTAAGAACTCTGATGAAAGCAATGACCAACCATGTCTCCAGAGCACCTATGATAACACATTTCATTCACCATGTAACAGAGAGGTGATAGACCCAGAGATGTACATTTTTGGATACAACCACTGTGTGAACTCATTTTAAATGACTATGCTCATTTGCTAACGGAGTTTTATTTTTGTTCTGCTTTTTTTTGCTTTCTATTAACTGGGAGGTTGGGGGGATGGAGGGTTAGCAATAAACAATGCAAAAAAAAAAAAGAGGGCCACTGAAACATTTTTTACTTCAAAGTAGAGCAGGAAATACGGAAGGAAGTACAGACAACCAGGATAGTTTTAAAAGTAATGTGTAAAATTTATTATGTACTTTTTAAAAAATTAAGCATTATGAAATTGAGTTTCATGGCTTCATATAGAATCTGCTTTTGTATTCTGCTTTGAGTATGGAAATGCTTTCTTGTATGTATTTAAGTTCAAAATTTAAAGAAATTAATTTAAAACCATCAATACAGGTGAGTAACAGCATTTATCACTGCTCCCCGCACTAAGCAGATTGATTTAAACTTGTAAGGCCAAAAGACTCAAGATGCAGAAATAATGAAGTAACATCATAAGGCAATCATAACCAGTTCTAAGGGTCATTCAGGGAAAGTAATTCTCAACACTTCTCATATACTGGCTGGCACTTCCTCGTGGAAGAATCTGCTTGAATTTTAATGAAATAATTTTTTAAACATTCAGGGAAGATTTTGCCCCAAAACCAGAAGAAACATTCAAGAGTAAGGAAGACAGGAATAGAGGGAGAGAAGAAGGGAGTGAAGGAAGGGAGGCTTATTAAGTGCAAATATTATCTCAGCTACTGTACAAATATTATCTCATTTGATCCTCACAGCACGCTTGGAAAGTGGGTGCTATTGTAATCCGCATTTTACAGATGAGAAAACTGAGGTAGACAGAGTGACGTGCCCAGGGTCACAGAGTCAGTAAGTGCCTGAGGCCAGATGTGAACGAAGGTCTTCCTGACTTCAGGCCCAGCACTCTATTCAATGGCCATTTAGGTGCCAAACTGATAAGCAAACATACACAAATCTCTCTTACCCTAAAAAGTCTCTAAACATGTACTTAAGGCAACATCATTTAAGTAAATTGCAACCTACCCATTACCTACTTTAAATCAAAGATCTACCTTTTTTAAACACAGGGAATCTCAGAGTTGTAAAGTACCCTACCAGTCATCTATTTGAGCGTCTACGTGAAATAAGTATCCCATCTACAGTATCTCCAACACCTGGTCTGTTACGATTCAATGCTTTCAGCCATGTCTGACTCTTCGTGACCCCATGTGGGGTTTTCTTGGCAAAGAGAGTGGAGCGGTTTGCCATTCCTTCTCCAACTCATTTGACAGATGAGGAAACTGAGGCAAAAAGGGTTAAGTGACTTGCCCAGGGTCACACAGCTAGTTAAGTATCTGAGGCCAGATTTTAACTCAGGAAGGTTAGTCTTCCTGACTCCAGCTCAGCACTCTATCCACTGCACAACCTAGCTGACCTGTAAAAAATGCTTACCCAGGGGCAGCTAGGTGGCACAGTGGATAGGGCTCCAGCCTTGGAGTCAGGAGGACCTGAGTTCAAATCTGACCTCAGACACTTGATACTCACTAGCTGTGCGACTCTGGGCAAGTCACTTAACCCCAACTGCCTCACCAAAAATTTAAAAAAAAAAAAGACATATTAATAAAGCTGCACTTTTAGGGGGCAGCTAGGTGGCGCAGTGGATAGAACACCAGCCCTGGATTCAGGAGAACCTGAGTTCAAATCCAGCCTCAGACACATAACATTTACTATGTGACCCTGGGCAAGCCACTTAATCCCATTGCCTAACCCAAAAAAGATAAAAATTAAAAAATATATAAAAATAAATAAAAAATGTTTACCTAACCTCCGTTTGAATGCCTCTAGTGAGAAAGAACTCACTTTATAGAGACAGGTAAAAGAGCTTTCCAAAATCCCCAACTACTCATCAAATCCCAAATATTACAAATTTCTTGATGTCTTAAAAACAGGCAGCTAAGTGTTACAGAAGAAACACTGGACTTTGAATCAGAATTTCTGGTTTTAAGTCCCAGCTCTGCTAGTAGTATGACTTATGAGTGGTGTAAAGCAAATCATTTAACTTTCTCAGTCTCCTCATCTATAAAATGTGGATTTAAAATACTTGTATGATAATACACTAATATTTTTGTGAGAAAAAATTTTAAACCATAAAGTCCCATCAGTTAGGGAAAAGCTGAACAAAGTATACAAATGTAATAAGATATTACTGTACCATGAAAAATGGTAAAAGGGATGGATTCAGAGAAACCTGGTAAAACTTTTATGAACTAACGCAGAGTAAAATGAGCAGAATTAGAAAACAATTTATTCAACGACTACAACACTGTATGAGACTTAAGAACTCCAATCAAAACAATGACTAATCATGACTCCCAAGGACCAAAGGTGAGGAATGTTACCTACTTCCTGAGAGAGAGGTGATGGACTCAAGATACAGAACTAGACATATGTTTTCAAACAAGGTCAATATATTTTACTTGGTTTGTTTTTTGTTTAAAAAAATTATAACGGGCTCTTTCCCTTCTCTCAAGATGGCAGACAAAAAACCTCCAAAGGAACCAAAGGAAAAGAAGGTCCGAAAAGAAAAAAAGGAGAAAAACAAGAAGGAAGATGTGGCTGAAAAGGTGGTGAAAAAGCCCCAAAAGCACTGCAGTCAGAACCCAGTCCTGGCCGGAGGGATCATTCAATATTCTAGGTCTGCAACGTATTCCAGGAGAGACATGTACAAGCGGAAATATCCCACACCAAAAACCCAGATTGAAAGGAAAAAGAAAGAGAAGGGCCTGCTACTATTTCAAAGCCAGTTGGTGGTGATAAGAATGGAGAACTCGTGTGGTAAAGATTCGCAAGATGCCAAGGTATTACCCTACTGAGGATGTGCCTGGAAAGCTGCTAAGTCATGGCAAAAACCCCTCAGCCAGCAAGTGAGGAGACTTCGATCCAGCATCACCCCAGGCATGGTTTTCATCATGTTCACCGGCCGCCACAGGGGCAAGCGAGTAGTTTTCCTGAAGCAGCTGGCTAGTGGCTTGCTACTGGTGACCGGACCTCTGATTATTAACCGTGTTCCTCTGAGAAGGACCCATCAGAAATCTGCCATTGCCACCTCTACCAGGGTTAACCTTTCAGGTGTAAAAATTCCAAATCATCTTACTGATGCTAACTTCAAGAAAAAGAGGCTCCGTGAACCTAGACATCAAGAAGGAGAGATTTCTGACACAGAAAAAGAGAAATACAAGATTACGGAGCAGTGCAAGGCTGATCAGAAAACAGTGGACTCTCAGATCCTGCCCCAAATCAAGAAAATTCCTCAGCTCTGTGGCTGCTTGCCCTCTGTATTCTCTCTCTCCAATGGAATTTATCTTCACAAACTGGTGTTTTAAATGCCCTGCACAGAACTCTGATTAAAATATTTGGAATAACTAAAAAAAAAAATTATAACGGGTAGGAGGAAATTTAGTGAGAAGAGAGTTGTGACAGTAATAGCCAAAAAAAAAGAAAGAGAAAATCATTGAAGCATTTTTAAATGCACAGAAGAGATCAGAAGGAAGTTAAGAAAAAGTTACGGATAAGCAGAACAGGTTTTAAAAACTCAGGCTATAGATTCACATAAAATATAGATTCATTTATTATATATAATCATAGATTCATATAAAATCCTACTTTTCTATTCTAGGTATATGGAAATGATCACGTTTGTTGGGGTTTGTCAAGTTCAAAATAACCAAAAATAAAAATCATTTCAACCATGGATTATAAAAACTGAACTATTACAATTTCTCTAAAAGAAACATAAGCATTTCACTACTGTCTTTTTTTTTTCTAGTGAGGCAATTGGGCTTAAGTGACTTGCCCAGAGTCACACAGCTAGGAAGTATTACGTGTCTGAGGCCAGATTTGAACTCAGGTCCTCCTGACTCCAGCACCGGTGCTCTATCCACTGCGCCCCCTAGCTGCCCCCACTGCTGTCTTTTTTAACCAATGGCTTTTATTGGAAAGGAGAAAGGGAGGGAAGAAGGGAAAAAAGGGAGG